GTCAAGGTGACAAAAACAACTTGTTTTGATATTTTACCTGGAGTCTGTAGGGAAATGGAAAATCCAAACAATATTTTACTCATGAATTAGTTGGAGTTTGAACCTGAACCTGACAACTGAACAAGTTCCCCTGCGTGAAAATAAATCCTATTGTGAAACAAAGGGAGATTAAGGAGATTAAGCTTCACATGTGGAGGGTCTGAAAGTGGGTTTGTTCTTGAATGTTGAAGGCATTTTATAGCTACTTAGGTTGGTTTTTTGTTTGTTTTTAATTTAAAAGAACCATAATGTCTCTGGGGCAGAAGAGACTTCTGAATGTAAGAATGTGTGCTACTGGTTTCAGTATAAAACATTTACAGCTAATAGTCTTGAAAAAGAGACTATGATTTGAAGATTGACTCACAAGAAATTAATTCGTATTTACATGTTGGCTATATTAATAGTTACAGCGTTATTTTTAGCCAAGTGATTATAATTTATATGTTCATTCCAATCACTTTGGAAATAATTCTCAGAAGTTTTAGAGAATTATAGGATGCACAAGCCAATAGATATAACAATTGAGTTGTTTCTCTAAGTCATGTGCTATAAATAGAGTTGTTCAAAGCTGGAGGTTCATTATATTTCTTCATTGGAGAAAAAAAAATTACATGTGATGCTGATGAGCTACCCTTTCTTTACAAATAATACCTAACCAAAAAATATCTCAGTTCTTGATCAAATTATAGAGAGTATTAAATGTTCAATGGCATTCTTTTAGATCTACGAATCACAGACTTTTCTTCGTTCTTTTAAAAAATTGTTTAAACATTTTAAACAAATTTATCTGTATGAGTGTTTTGTCTACGTTTATAAAAGCACCTATGTTGTACAATGCCAATGGAGGCCAGGAGAGGGCATCATATCCTCTGGAACTGGACTTCATCATGTGTGTTCTGGGAACCGAACCAGGGTCCTTTGTATGAGCAGCCAATATTCTTAACCATGGAGCTGTCTTCCGTTCCTGTTTTCTTTCTTATTTAAATTTACATATTTTCTTGTCTAGAATTAAAATGTGGCTATGAATAATATAATTGTAATGAATAATTGAATACATAGTACTGCTATTTAGATATAGGAAAGTATGTAAGATTCTAAAATATCTTATTAAACTGAAGATTCTCGGGTAATTATAAATTAATGAAAGGGAAAGAATTCAAAAGTTATTTTATTTCCAGTTCTAATTTGTTCTTCTGCTGAGTAATGGAATGCATTCTCTTTGATTTTTAGGTTTACTTCTAAATTAAAAAAAAAAAGAAAACAAACAAAACAAAACGTTGAAGGCTCACCAGCAGTGGCAAGAAATTTCATCAGAATCCACATGGAAGTAAAATTTGGCAACTGTTAGTATTTCTCAGGCCAAAAGTTATTCTTAGTAAAATCTCCACCATTATCATTATAATCACCACCCATGTCAAGAAGAGCTCTTAATGAAGAAAGAATCAAGTGCACATATTTAACTTTGAAGTTTCGGGGTTGTTTCTGCATATCTTATTTTAATGACTCCTTTCTTTTTCTGAATATAAAACTTGCTTTTATTTAACAGGGAACTCTCAAACTCAGCTTCATCTAAAACTGAAGTAATTCTCAAAATATTTTGTGCCCAAATAAATCTTTGAACAGTATTTCAACATTATCCCAGGAAACTGACTTAACAAGGTCTACAACAAATTTAATCTACCATTTCCAAAAGTGGCCGATATGTACAAATATACTCCAAAATATTAATAGATTTTCAGCAAAAGAATTTGAAAAATTCTGTGTTTAATTAGTTTTCCACAAAATTTCAACTCCTTTAAAGTTCAGATAGAAGTTGTCAATCTGTTTTAAATACACAGAAGTATAAGTTGAAATAAAGCCATCATATGGAAAGGCATCCAAGACAGAGGGGAGATTATGGGCCAAGAGGAGCAGGTGGGAAACCATAAGGCATCTTGTGAAAACTGGAGGGAAATGCTGGAGTTCCAGGAGATAAATCTGGAAAGGGAGGTAAAAGCCAGATCATTGAGTTTTGAATGCTGGCTTAAATAGTTTATATTCATTTAAAAGTCAGTCATCAGCCACTGGAGATTACCAAGAGGAGGAGTGACAGGAAGAGTGTGGTAATTTGGGAGGATTAATTTGGCCTGAAGTGAACAGGCTCATTTAGAATAGGGAAAGTACTGAAGTAGGGAGCACAGTTAAAAGCTCTTAGGAATGACATGAGAAGAAGTGTAATAAGAATGGTGAAGATGAGAATGCAAAACTGAGGGACTAGTACAAGACACTGACAAATAATATAAAGACATCCTCAAGGGAAAATACCGCCAAGCATCGTAGCTGTCCTCAGGCCTTCAGGTAGCTTTTTTACCCGACAGGACTGACTGGTTTTAATCCCATGGTTTACTTCCATTCATTCCTTTAAAACTGTAGCTCGTTGCCTTCTTTCTGAAATCAGTTTTATGTGTTCTTTTTTGAATGTTCTAAGCACACAAGTTCTGTAACAATGTATTATACTGCTCGTTAGTTTGTTTCCTCAGTTATGAGACTAGCTCCCTGAAGCTGAGCACCAAATTCATTCATTTCTGTACTGATCATAGTAGCACCCATTAGAAACTCAATCACTTTTTGATGAAAGGGCATGCACTGGAAGGTTATCAATAAGTGTAAAGATAAATGGACATGAGGATAGAGATGGAATAGAAAAACTGAGAGAGAGCAGGCTGTTTTGTCAAGTTTAGAAAATCAGTATAAACGAGTTTGAAGAAGGGAATAGAAAGAAAATTGATTAGGCAGAATTCTAGAGTACAAGGCATGCTGCATGGTGCCACAGTTCTCACTAGGAGCCGAATTCTCTGATGTTTCTTCACTGTAGCTTCCTACAGCTCTGCCAAGAAGTCATCCCGCCTGGAGAATATTTTAACATTTTCGTATGAGTGTACATGCCTGTGTAAAGGACAGCTCAAGATAAAAGACCACAGTCTCATGAGGTTTTCCCTTATCTCTTGACTTTCTGAACATCCACAATATTTTCTGTTAATATATAGCCTGAAGATTGCCTGTATAAAAGCCCTTCGAGGGCAATGTGTATGAGAATTTTATCTTTTTGGACACATTTTATCTTATTAGTGAAAAAGGCATGATAGATTTTGATTCATCATTTTACAACTTCAAATAAAGTTCATTTGCTTTAACAAATGATCATCAACTATTACAGAACTGATTCATGGCAAAACCCTGGTGAGATCCTTAATGACAGATGGATCAAGTTGCTAGTACCCGACTCCACTTATTAAGTATAAGGCTATGTGAAGAGGGACAACCAGGCAAGAAGAATGCAATGTCCCCTGCAATATATTCCCTCACAGAGAACATAGAAATCTGTATTTGACCAGACTAGTATCTATTCGATGGCAATATAAAAGACCAAGTAAATGTGAAAAAATAACACTGGAAAATTTTTTTGCAAACTCTCAAATGTGGGAAGTAGATCGTAAGGAGTAAGTAACTTTCAATGGTTAGAAAAAGACCCATAGATTAAATATATTAAAAAGAACTTGAAATATGATAATATGTGAAAAGTAGATATTTTTGTATACTGATTCCAAGGTATCCAGATTTACAAAATTTATGTAATAATTAGGGAAACTAGATCATTGTTTGATATTTTAGGACTGATAATGGTGCATTTAAAATGATTACATGTTGAAATACTTTGAGATAAAATTATATGATTTTAGGGAATTTACTTCAAACTGGCAAGGCAGTGGAGTCAGAGTAGAATGGTGGTGTTATCAATCGAACAAGATTATTGGGGAAATTCAATGATAGTTCACTGTGATGTATTTTTAAGAATTTCTTTATAATTTCAAAATACAGAGTCCTGGGCCCTATATCAGTGTTACAAATTAGAATAATGAAGGAGCTTTTCAGATCATCATTATCAACAAATTCCAAGGTTATTATGATGCACACTGAGGCTTGGTGATTACAATCCTAAAACAGTGTATCCCATTGGTCTTTCCTGTTAGATAAATGCAACCATTACCTGTACATCTCTCAGGACAGAATGTGTCTTAATCAACCTTATTTTTCATATATTTAGTATTGGCCCAATAAATGCTGTTAGAAAATATTCATTTGCTTTGAATTAGTATTTTGGATACAGAGTATGCAAGAGTTGCCCTCAGAGCACAACATGTCTGCTCCATTTCACAGCATGGCTCTTAGCAGTCACCCTCTGATGACAGGGAATTTCTTGGGTGGATACTGGAATCTAGCACTTGGATTTCCTAAGTCTCCTGTATCTCTGTACCTCAGCCAGCAAAGCTAAAATCTAATAGGATATGAACAATAGCACCCTATTTGCAGACAAAATGCTGCAGAGAATAGATCTGTGTAGATCCATAGCACACATGACCTTCAAACAAACAAATGGAGACATTTCTACCTGCCAGTACATATTGACTTCAATATTTGATTTTGGAAATGTTATTTAAAGTGGCCCATGTATTGAGTAATAATGTGTTTTAATTGCTTTCTCAGACCCAGTATTCCTATATATACCCTGGGGTCTTTGAAGGAAAAAAGAAAAAGGAACTGGGAAGGATAGTACCAGATTCTTCTGTAGATTCTGTCTGTGCTAGGCAGGGATTTTAGTTCTATCATTAACTACTTAGGTGGTTTTAAAATTTGAATATGACCCACTTTAGGGGCTTCTGGTTTTCAATGTATATAATTCTAAAGTAAACAAGTCAGTATACTCAGAGCAGCTCTGAGTTTACCTCCAGCTTTAGGGTGCTTCTTGGGGGGAAAAAATGACTTCATCTAACATTTGAACTGAAAACAACTTTTCATGGAAAAAAAGACATAAAACGATCTCACCTCTGAGTCTTAGATGGCAATAAATAAGGCCAAATTCTCGCAGTCCTGTTCTGAAGGTATAAATCTAGCAGTAGGAAGGGTTTCCTACTTTGGCTTACCTGCTTATGAGCATGGTCGTAAGAATTAATATGATTGTCAAACTCCTGGTGTTTGTGATACTGCTTGTCACATAATTCACAGTAAAAGTTTGCTTTTGCATCTTCCAGAGCTTTGGCTGTGGACTTCTCCTTTTCTGCAAAGTCCTTTAAAAAAGGGCAGAAATATTAGTTATATTTCTCTCTGATAGAAACCAGATTTTCTATTAATCAAGTTGGTATTTAATTTTACTGTGACTAAAATAGCATGGTGAGACTCATGATTTCCTGGAAATTCATTGCACCGTGGAAGCAACTTTCAGAGTAGCATCATTCTGAACTTAAACAGCCACCACACAAGCTTTCCAGAAGTAGACCTGTGGTTACTGTTGCAGTTGCTCATGACGCATCCTTTCGCTAGCTACCTGTTCCCAGTTGTAATTCACCTATTACCAAACACTTTCTGGCCATTTCTGTTTTATCTCTGTCATAGACTTTCCTTCCTTTGGTATGCTTCTTACATTTTTTTGTGTTCCTTGCAGTTCTACCCTCAGCCATGAGATCAATCTAATCTGTACACTCTCTCAGGGATTCGTTTATTCACATTGCTGTCAGAGCCTGATGCATTCATTGTCTGAAACTTCAGTCTGACTTCTTCCACAGCAGTTCCTGCAGACACTGCAATTCTGTTCATCTCCTGTTTTTCAAGACCTTTATTCTTACAATTTTGAGGAAGCTTCACTTCTGACAATCTTGGCTATATCATTTCTTTACTTAAAATGCTCTCAAATTTTCCACTGCATACAGAATTATTAAATAGCAAATACTTAACATAATCTATGTTCATATGTATTTTACTGATATGTCACCCAGTCTTTATAGAGATAATACACTTATGACTACCAAATAAGTATGTGGAAAAGAGATTTGAAATAAACAACCTTTGCCTAGTTCTCTTGTTAGCAACCACCTGTGATTTACCATTTCTCTTTAGAGTTTTACCCTTAATAAGAATGATAGGTACTTTTCTGTTCAAATCACTTTGAAGGTAAATTAGGATAAAAATTACTTTCTGAAGTAATTATGCAATCTTTAAATATATTTGAAGGCTTAAAAGAGATATGAGAAAAGTAAAAATCACTACCTGTTCTCAGTACCAGTAAATTTTAAATATAAAAGTAAGAATAAAATTTACAATAAGAGATAGAAACCATTCCCTGATTTGCAGTTACTTAGATTTTACTTTCTATAGTTTGTATAGTGGAAGATAGTTCTGAAAGCTTAATAGCATAACTCACTTATGATATAAAAGAAAACTTCTTAATTATTCTCAATGATTCATTAAAGATTGAAAATTACAGTGTGACTATAACAGTTTTCTTAACAAGTTATTTTAAAAATATTAGGTAATGCCAATGGCTGTATTTTTTGTAAGACATAAAAATATGCACTTTTCCACACAAAGAATTTTATATTCATGCATTTAGTAAATGTTCCTGTAAACTGGCAGATATTCTGACTAAAGTAACTCATTTAATTAGAAAGAAATATGAATGCTTGCTATCAAATTATTTTAATTATTGAAATGATTACTGCACACTAAAATCATAGTGCTCTACTTGTAAAGCAGAAATGTGACAAATGAATTGTTCCTTTTAACTTGCTTAATCTTTGCAATGAGCTATGTTCTATTTCTCTTCCATTATGGCTGTGAAGGCAGTGCACAAACACTTTGATGAGACCATGTTGTAGAGCTTGAATTTAGGATTAGGTCAGCCCGACTTTAAAGCTATTAATACCTGTGCTCACAGCTCCTCCAATGACTCGGACTTTAACCAGCTATCTAGGTAACTCCAGGCTGCCGCTGCTAATTCATCCACAGATTTAAAATTGTGCTGCAGAGCTCTTAATTCCCAACAAGAGTGAGAAGACTAATTATAATTTTAAAAATCTATAATGTTCTTGAAACTGGGAGATGGACACTAAGAAAATGCAAGATTGAAGTCCCACTCAATTGGTTTTGAAAATGTGCCTTGGTTATGAAGTGAAATTAGAGAAATCCATTGCTCTTCTTCATATCTCTTTGATCACAATAATGACTAGAAGCTTTGAGGGTGGAATTCATACTCTTTGAATGAAAACTTACATTTAACCATCCGTTACTATGTGCACTCTTTAAGAATTCTAATGTTTGGTACATATTGTGTTTTGCTGGTCCCCAACACAACCCTCCACCCTCCGCTTCAATCATGGATGTTGCTGAGTCATAAAACTCTTTTGAACTCTGTTGCTTTGTGCTTTGTCTAACAGACTGGATAATGGAAAACTTCCTTTCAGAGTGGTTTTATTATTTATATATTTATTTCTTATTTTTGTGATTCAGAGAAACTAATTTAGTCCTTGAAGAACAAGGAGCTGGAAAGTCAGACTGTGTCTTAAGACAGCACAAGCACTAAAGAGTTCAGTTATGTCAGAATGAATTAAGGTGGATAATAATAAGTAGTTTTCAGGATTGATAGGAATAAAAATTATATAATTTTTGGGAAGGCATGGTGCCTTTATTCCCAGTACTCAAGAGGCAGAGACAGGCAGATCTCTGTGAGATTGAGGACAGCCTTGTCTATATGATGAGTTCAAGGCTGCTTGGGGCTAAAGGGAGACTCTGTCTCAATAAGACCAAAAATAAAATTAAATAAATTTATAGAAATTCTTAGTGCCCTGCACCACAAATGCAGGTAATAGGGCTCAGATTGCACCAGCCCAGATTACAAGACCAAAATTCCCAACCTCAAAAATGCATCTGTAGATTAATAGGCTTAAATTTGTCATTTTGAGAAGCAGTAGACAGGGAAGTAGCTCCAAAAATGACAGCTTTAGAAGAGAAATGTATAAAATTGAAGGAACCTTCCAACTGTAGAAGTGCCACTGTTTCTATACCCAGAAGAGAAGGATGACTTTAAATCACTAGACATTCTTTGTTGAGGGAGTGGGGAGTGTATGAGTGTATGGTGTGTGTGTGTGTGTGTGTGTGTGTGTGTGTATGTGTGTGTGTAGCACATGTGCAGACATGCACAGAGATCAGGGCAGGGCTTCAGTTGCCCTACTGTACAATAATCTATCTTATTTCCTTAAATCAGGGTCTTATGATGAACCTGGAGCTCTCTGATCTCCCCTCCCCCATCAAAAGGAGGCAACTGATCAGCAAGCCTCAGGAATCCTCCTGTATCTGTGTCCAGCCCCACGTAGTACGTGGTCATGCATGGCTGTTTTTAATCGAGTGCTGAATATCCAAATTCCGCTCCTCATACTTGCACAGCAAATGTTCTTACCTACTGAACCATCTCCCCAGACCAGCAGCTCCTCAGTCAAACATCTTTCCAGCCAAAGACTTAATTAAAGAGAAGGCATCAATTACTCCTGCATCAAAAACCTCTGTTTCATACCTTTAGTGGGATTTAATCAGATCTTCCCCACACACTTCTTCATTCTTTCAACGAATGATGATGTTTAAATCTGAAGCCTAAGACAACGTCTTAATCTCTATGCTAGAAACTTATTTTTCCAGGTTATCTCTCTTACATATAGAGTATAACCATGTTATCAAACTTGATGTTTTTCTCTGCTAGTCTGTCTTTTGTTAAAGCAAGTTACAGCTAAGAATTCATCCAGAACTTGGTGTGATGAGGCATGCCTTTAATCTAAGCATTTTGGAGGCAGAGACAGGAAGATCTCTGTGAGATTGAAGACAGCCTGTTCTATATAGCAAGTTCCAGGCCAGCTGTGGCTACAAGGAGATCCAATCTAAAAAAAAAAAAATTCATTGAGGAGAAAATTATTTTTCCTCTTCTCTATAGATACTTGTTATCCCAGTGTTTTTTGTGTGGTTGTATCTGTATAACACTGTATATATGTTTGTGTTTCATTTGCAGTTGTATTAGGGCCTTACTTTGTAGTCTTGGCTAGCCTGAAACTCACTTTGTAGACCAGAGGGGTCATAAAATTGGGGTGATCAGATTGTGTCTCCTTTCCTAATGTGAATATTGGGATTACACATGCGAACTTGAACCCCTGATACACCTGATAGAATGAGCTTTTTGGTTTTTTTCCCTTTTTTTTTTTTTTTTACAATTATTGTGTGTGTGTTTGTGTGTTTGTGTGTGTGTGTGTGTGTGTGTGTGCATGCAGCATGCATACGCCAGGATATGTGAATGTGGAATTCAGCAGAAAACCAGCAGGAGTCAGTTCTCTCCTTCCGTGTGTTTTGGAGCTCCCTCATTCAGGTTATCAGGCTTGGTGGCAAATACTTTTACCTGCTGAGGCATCTTTCTGCTCCCGTATGTTTTGTAAAAATTATCTACCTATCATCTATCTATCTGTCTGTTTGTCTACCTACCTATCATCTATCTATCTGTCTTACATTGAACTGTTTAGGAATTCCACACATAATCAAGAAAGCATTATATGAGTTTAATTATATTAACATTACTAACACTGATTTCCTCAGAGTTGTGATAATTCCTTTTTAAAAAATATTTTATTTATTATTTTTTTCTGTGTATGAGTGCATTGCCTACATGTGTGTACATGCACTCGTGTCATGTAGTGCCCACAGATGTCATAAGAAGGCATCAGATCCCCTAGAACTGGAGTTACAGATAGTTGTTAGCCACCATGTGAGTGCTGGGAATCAAGCCTGGGTCCTCTGCAAGAGCAATGAGTGCTCTGAACTGCTGAACCATCTCTCTAGCCCTAAAGTCAGAGACTGATTGGAGATGTGAGGAATGAAATGATTAATTTTTTACCATAAAATGAATAGTCTTTGCCTTCTATAGCATCCAACACAGTTTTTCTTACTTAAAAGTAACTCAATCACTAAATAAAATGAAATCGACAGCAAGGGTAAAGGATGCATTTCCTATTACTTTCAGAGAATATAAAAATGATGACACATCACTTTGGATAACTAACTGTTGAAATAATGATGGAGGAGGTAGATAAGTATGATTGCACACAGGCAGAGCTTCTAGAATTTTAGAACAAATTTGTAAATTGTAGACCTGAGGATTTAGTGCTTTTTGAAAACAATTCCCACAAAAATAGAATGTGGCAATTGGAGTGTATTAAATTAGAAATGTCACTCCTAGGCTCATGTATTTGGTGACTTGGTC